CATAGCCCACCCCGGTCTAGCCGACCTATTCGTGCTACAACCATAATATAACCATAATTAAAAAGTTGTCTTTTTTACGTTTATTCCGCTAAAGAATAATTCAGATTCTCTTTAAACCAAACCTTCTTAAAAGCATTTAGTGGAATTCAGCTTTATTAATGTTCACTAAAAGACTTCTCATATATCCAGCGAAATTGCGCTTGTTATATACATATATCAGTCGTCAGAACATCTGTTTCTAATGTTACCGTGCTAATTCGTTCCGATAGCTATGGACCACAGACTTTAAATTTAGGCATAGTTTACTACAAGTTAATTTAAACTTAATAGACATTACATTATGTGTCTTTTTTGGTTTTGCGGTTTTATAAACTTCAAAATATGTTACACGTGAGCTGTCATTCTATTTTGAACGTATTGTTGTACATTTAAGATTCATTTTTAATGCTTCGTTATGTTTATTTTTAGTCCTGTATTAGAAGAAGTTTATGTGTTTTCATTTGTCCTAAACAGAAATAAAATTAAACTTATGTGTTGATGTTGTGAAAAGGGATGTGGGGGAAAGCAAGCGATAAATTACGCTGAATAAGGTCTTTACTGTACATTATAGACGATTAATGCAAAATATTTATAGGAAACTTTAAAATTATTTTGATAAAATATAAAGATACCCTTATTTTAATGTTTCTATGTTGTTGCATCTAGAGCCATTAAAATGCAATAATTATTATTATATTTTTAATAGCTCTTCTTCGATCGACATAGGTATATACTGGTCAGTAAACAAATATAAATTTATTTGATACAGCTGTTAAAATTACAACTTATATTCATAAAAACTAAAGCTTCTAGAAATTAAAATTAAATGCGTACAATATTTGTGTACCTAATTCTATCTAATAGATTGGAAAACATCTTTGATGTTCTATATAAAACTTTTAATGGGTTATTTCATTTCAAATGCTTTTAAATAAGATTATCAAAGCTTGAAAGCCAATTTATTGCGTATATTATACTATTTTATTAAATTTCGCAATAACGCACACTATCGTAGACTGTTTAATACTTGTCTGCCCATCGTAGAGAAAAAGGTATGTTTTTTTTAACCGACTTCAAAAAGGAGGAGGTTCTCAATTTGAGTGTATGATTTTTTTTGTATGTATAATACGCGATATCTTCGCAGATTGTGGAACCAATTGTGATGATTCTTTTTTATTAAATAAATAATATATATATTATATATATATATATATATATATATATATATATATATATATATATAATATAAATAATATAATAAATAAATACTTCAAGAAAAAAATACACCTCTAATGGTAGCAAATAAATAACTTTTTTTTTAGCAATTTGAAGTGGGTTTTGCTTTTTGTTAAAGTTATAAATATACAGTAATGTATATCTTCATCATTATAAATTATTTTAGCCTATATTCGGATTAGAAAGGGGTAGTTCTGTTTTCTTCTTTTTCGAGACTAACAATTTCAAAATGTTAGATCCATATGTTCTTCCTTCTAGATCCATTTTTATTTGCTGCTAATTGTCGGACGCGGCTCTGGAGACCAAATAATAGCTAAAAATCGGCCCAGAAACATCATCATTATCATCATTACAGCACTTCACAAGTCCACTGCTGAACATAGGCCTCCCCAAGGAATGCCACCAAGCACGGTCCTGAGCCACCTGCATCCATCAACTTTCTGCATGTCTTACCACGTCGTTACTCCATCTAGTGGGAGGGTCGCCTTACACTTCGCCTATCCGTACGGGGCTGCAACTCGAGAACCTTTTTTCCCAGTCGCTTGTCGGTTCTTCGAGCTATATGGCCGGCCCATTGCCACTTCAGCTTACTAATCCGTTGGGCTATGTCGGTTACTCTGGTTTTACTTCGGATATCCTCATTTCTAAGTTTATCACGCAGAGAAACCCCGAGCATAGCCCTCTCCATAGCTCGCTGAGCGACCTTGAGCGTCCTCATACGACCAGCAGTGAAGGATCACGTCTCAGATCCATAAGTCATCACTGGCAACACGCACTGGTTGTACAATCTCGTTTTCAGGGCTTGAGGTATACGTGACGAGAAGATATGTCGTAATTTCCCGAACACTGCCCAGCCGAGTTGAATCCGTCGATAGACCTCTCGGTCGAAGTTGGACTTACCTAGTCGGACTATTTGTCCCAGGTAAACATACTCGTCAACAATTTCGAACTTAGTGCTCCCAAGAACTAAATAAACAGACAAGATAACATAAGACATTAACAGAAACAATAAGCCTAAATTTTACAAATTGGTAATGGGAAGAAGCATTACCAGAACTCTTTCTCGTATTGGTTTTGTCATTCCTATCCGCTTGTTTAACATTTTTTTTCTCTGCAGAAAATTCTCATATACAAGTAACGCACCATGCATTATTCTGTATTAATACTCGTCGTTGCACTGCCGATGAATATAAATAGGTTTGGTGTCATTCTATCCACTTCAACACTACTTATAAAAAGTCATTATTGATAATAGTTAAAGCATGGAAGAAACCATAGTGACTGTACATACAACTTTATAGTTTGTGAATAGTGGTGCTAGTCGATTTTTAACACAGTTTATCATGACACCCTTCTTTTCTTTAATAAGATTTTTGTCCTTTGGATGCTTGTCTCTTAAGCCATGTCTTCATTTATAATAATACTTTATAGTAGACTGCTTCACAATATGTTGATGCGCCATATTGCGTAGCCTTTGGGAGGTCTTGACGGTAACTTGAGCTAGCAGACAGTTGCCGATAACATCTCAAGGCGCCTAAGCAGCCAGACACATTTTCTTGAGATTCACATTACCATTGGAGCACTTGTTTCATCATTTCCACTAAGAGTTCACATGCGCAGATATTTAATTACTCACTTTTTATTTAAACAATTATTTAAACCATAATATATATGTGGGAGCGGCAACACATGAGTAAGCGGCAATCCGCCCCCGGTCAAGTTCGCGCCAAAATTCTGAAATCTTTCTCCCCATTCAATCCCGTCAAAATTTTGCGCCTACTATATCCGAACGGCTTCTAATCTACATACGAGTATATTCGCGCCCGTTGCAATTAGTTTTCATTGGAATATGCCTTTAAGAAAATTAATGAAGTATTTTTATAAAGTTATTGCGCAGCAATAAATTCTCCTATGATTTTCTTACCTTTTATAAACCTGAAATGATTATTATTTTTTGTTATTATTTTATTTTATACGAACGAGTTTTTTATATGTGTCATCAGAAATTGAGGCCTTCATGGTGAGATTTAAAAGTCTTCATTTATGGAATATAATAATTATTTCGTTTCCATATCCTTTCGCTGCGAATATGCAAGCATTAGAACATAGAGATGGATATTAATAATTTGCTTACTCATCATTACATCATCATCATCATTACAGCCCTTCACAAGTCCACTGCTGAACATAGGCCTCCCCCAAAGAATGCCACAAAGCACGGTCCTGAGCCACCTGCATCCATCGACCTCCCGCATGTCTTACCAGGTCGTCACTCCATCTCGTGGGGGGACGCCCTACACTTCGCCTACCGGTACGAGGCTGCCACTCGAGAACCTTTCTTCCCCATCGGTTGTCGGTTCTTCGAGCTATATGGCTAAAGATAAAGGAAATTCATTATAGAATAAATAACTAAAATCTTTACTGTCACTAAAACTTCGATGATTAAACTTGGGATAAATATGTCAATAAAAGATATATAATTTTTATTCATTCTTAAAAGAGATTATAAATCTAGTCTTATGATTAATTCACTTTTATTATCACTAACTAATAGCGAACTTCTTTCTATAATGTTTATGAGGCAAATTCTTAATGATATGATGCCATAACCACTTTGATATCGATTTGACAATTAATAATGATGATTTTACCGCCATTTCGCGCTTACCACTCATAAAGGTGTGAAACACAGCGCTAATTTAACAATATTTATACGTCCTGTATACCATTAGGATGTGTATTTCACTAATTTTACTAAACACAAAATAATCATAAATTACACTTTAATGTTTCCGGACGTTAGAATTTTGCTGCCGATGGTGCCACATGAAAAATTAATGGCGGTTTTAAAACTATTTCGCACTGGCAACACTGGCGGCCACCGACGGAGGAAACGGATACGTCTATTATATCATCTGAAAACATGAAAATTTCTGAATAACGGCCATGAGGAAATTATAAAATGTTTAATTTATATGAAGTTTATTTGTATTCAGCCCTCTTTTCTTGTTTATGTCGGGAGCTGTTAAAAACATATTGGCCATAGTCATTAGTTTGAGAATTTTATGGGACTGTAAGCGTTCACTACGGACGTAAATCCTGACAAGGGGAATATAATAAGATAATTTGAATTTCACGCAGACTTTCTGGCTACCGACGTTTTTTAACATTAATCGGTATCAAATTTTTCGTAAATTGAAGCCAAATTGTTTGTTATATACAAAACACAGTTTATTATAACGTAGTTTACGTTTAATTACAACTGTTATAAGTGTAAACTTAAGGTTAACTTTCTTTTAGTAGCGCACTCTTGAAAATGCCTATTATTTGTGTACATATATAAGACGTTTCGGGTACTTTGTAATATTATGTTCACGAGGATACATAGATGATTAACGTCCTGATGCCGTAGTTAACCCAGGCTACTTTAGGTATTAATTATTGTTTTTGGTTGACCACATTGAATACCCAATTGAATATACGCAAACATTACATACATTTTAATGTACCTAAAACTAACTTATTAGTATTTCGAATTCCTGTAGTGGTATACTCAGGGTTGTATTTAATTTTATTGATTACGGGACCTCGAGCAGCTGTTATCACCCAGGCATATTCTCTAATGAAATTTGGATGTTTTAGAAAAGTTAGGAATTATTTGAAATTCAACGCAATAGAATTCGTAAAATTTGTTTTATTAAGTCGGTATACATTGTTTGTTACAGTGAAAGATCATCTTCAAAATTCAGACATCGAAGCTGATGACGTGGAAACAGACGACCAGACGTCCAACATGGACGACGACATCCTCACCCAATCAGATCTCGACGAAAACGGCGACCCAAAGAGTCCGGTCAGCTCCAGTTCGAAGAAGGGTAAAAACGGGTCGTCGAGGGACTCAAAAGGGGGGACTAAGCCAAGGAGGGCAAGGACCGCGTTCACATACGAGCAACTAGTTTCTTTGGAGAACAAATTCAAGACTACGCGGTATTTGTCCGTGTGCGAGCGGCTAAACCTGGCGCTCAGTCTTAGTCTGACGGAGACACAGGTGGGTTTGTAACATATTGATACTCTTCTATCTAAAATAGCAACATAGGTTTTATCATGGTGGGAGTTTTTTTATAGGAGAGCGTGATAAACGAGCGCACAGTCCACCTGATGGTAAGTGGCTGCTGAGTCCCATAGACATCTACATCTATCCTCACATAAGAATCAAAACGCAGATGCATTGTCACCCGTGAGGACTAAGATGGAATGCCTCTTTTCCAGTAACAAGGGTCTCCATACGAAACACAGCAGTGTTGAACTGCTATTTTACGTTGGTTTTCTGTGAGAGTGTGGTCCTCCCCAGGCCGAGCCGATCCATTCCTGCTACAACTACACTACTAATACAGCTGCATAATGCTATATAATGGTTGCAGCACGAATGTGTTAATTTGACTTTGGAAGAACCACGCTTTCACAGAATACCAGCGTAAATTAACAGCTTAATCCTTGAATGTTTCGTATGATTGGATTGCGTATGGTGAGTGTAGTGTGTAGAGAACCGGAGAGCCTTTATTACTAGTAACGAGGCATTCTATCTCCATCCTCAGGGGTGAAAACGCGTTTGAATTCTGACTCTTAATCGAGATTAGATGTAAGTGTCCCATGGACAACAGCTTCCACTTACCATCAGGTGGACAGTGTGCTCGTATGCCACTTTTATTCTAAAAATACCGTGTTTCGTAGGTTGAGTAGGCGTAGCCGACTAAAGGAAAGGTTAGGAAGAACTCTTTGCTCCCGATAGATCCGAAACATTCTATCTTAGCCCTTAGTGTGCGTACAGATTAAGTAACATGTTGTGTAACTTTTTTTTATGACACGTGCACATTATGTTAGATTGTTTTTCAACATTGCAACATATAACAATACTGTACACATTAGGATAACAATGCAATATAACAATGTTATATGACATTGTCGTTTGTCGTTCAGCAGTGCTTTTTACAATGTCGACACGAGAAGACGTTTTGCTAGCTGCTGCAGCAACTCTTGTACTTTTAAATAACAAAAGACAAAAATACTTAGATACCTACTGGTTTCGTCCCAAACAAACATAGTTTATTGACTAGAGAAAAAAATACTCTCGAGTTATATTACATTTGTGTCGCGTTATATAAAACATTTTATAACATTCAGTCTCCACGTTACTGAAGTATATTATACAACATGTTATGTTATATAATGTGTAGGCACCGTTAGGGATGACAACGCATCTACATTCTGATTCTTAATCGAAGATAGATGTAGTTGTCTACGAGCCATAGCTTCCATTTACCAACCAGCGGAATGTTTACTCGTTTGTACATATCCCTTATTCCATAAAAAGAAGGTGGTATGCCATACCCTATATTATGCTAGATGTAAATCAACGGCAAGCAGTGTTACAGCCTGCCAAGCATGGCGTTTGTGGCAAAGTGCTGAGTGATGTTCTTTCTGGTGTATTGTTCTTACTTGTTCTATCATAAAGAATGAGTATTTAATTATATGTAATTTTTTTTCAATTATAAAAAATCTTTTGTCTTTCAAGTCTTCTGATTATAGAAGAGGCTTATGTCCAGTAAAATGCTACTGGCAGATTGAGAAGAAGAAGAAGAAAGATTGTGGAAATCTGTCTTCTTTTATCAACCGACTTCAAAAAGGAGGAGGTTCTCAATTTGTCAAAATATTTTTTATGTATGTCCACCGATTACTCATAGACGCCTAAACCGATTTGGAAAACTCTTTATTTATTTGAAAGCTGGGGCTTCTCTTGCAGTCCCATATAAATTTGATCAAGGTATGACGAATAGTTTTTGAGTTATCCTTAATAAATTAATATTGAAGTCGGTTGTACAATTTTTTTTTATTTTACCACTTGTGTTTAGCTTTATGTTTCCCAATAAGTGATTAACATTGCTTTGTCTTTGTTCAGGTCAAAATTTGGTTCCAAAATCGTCGCACAAAATGGAAAAAACAAAACCCGGGAATGGATGTCAACAGTCCTACAGTACCGCCTCCTCCCGCTGGAGGGTTCCCATCTGGGCCTTACCCAGGCGGCCTTCTCTACTCACATGGAGTCCCTTACCCATTCACTGGGCCAGGGCCTTACGCACCATATTTTCATCACCTTGCAGCTAACCACCACCACACCCACGGCAGTATAGGCCATTCTCACACGTGATTATGGGCCCGCCCTGGCTCTGGGGACGCTAGGGTCGATAAAGATAGTGAAAACAGTTGTGGATTAACAAACTAGTGATGTGCGACACCTAAATTAGTCGATAAGCGTAACCTTAAGAACTTTATTAAATAGTGCAATTTAAGGTTAAGATGAAATTATGAATCAATTGTGATACATTTATAATAAGGAACGTTGTTTTTAATTATAATCACAGCTTTATTGTGAGGCAATTCATTCATGGACTCTATAAAATATTTTTAGCATAAACGTGTTAAGTGCTAAAAATGGATAAGATACTTTTAGGATTCATCACATTAATGATTGTAATAAAGATAAAACGTATATAATTAGAAGCAATGTGCCACTTTATTTTATATAGAGTTAATGAAACTTGTAAAATTTATGTAACATAAAAAGGGAACATCAGTTAAAACCAAACTACATTTTGATATTAAAATATCTTAGCACAAGTGTTTTGTACAAAATAATTCAAATTGATATAATTAATAAAAAAAAAATTCTCACATTACTCATGCTCTTGACATCGAAACACAGACGAATAATTTGTAAATATGTATTTCCCACCGCTTTAGTCGCTAGAAATTTGTATATACATATATGTAAAATATTTGGTTAATTTTATGTCTTTTCAAAATGTAGTTTGAAATTTCGTTATCACTATTAACACATGAATTTCATATCGTTGCTCTACGTTACGATACCTACGTTAACACTTACCGAAAATCGCACATAATAAAAAAAAAACTTATTTTTTTTTATTTGTTACTTTTTAGACAGTTATATTTTTTGCACTTTCTACAAACTAAATCACCTATAGTAATTTCTATACCATATCTTACTCACGTTTTAATAGTTTCAATACTATTAATTTTATATTTGTACATTTTTATATTCATATATTGTGATTGTAAAAAGGATTTGTAAATATAATCAATATTAATTAGGTATTGTAATGTAATGTTAACTTATCTAAATTTTAGTTTATCGGTGAAAACAAGCTAAACAAAAATGGCCTGTTTAAATATTCTACTGGGGTTTACTGTGGTACTTATTTCGCATGAATTTAATTTAGATTAATACTGGCATTATACTTCTTAAATTGAAAAATAAAGAGTTTTCATATAATTTTATAAAATACTTAGACTTGTTTTACAAAATATATGAAGATTATTTCATTACTTAACAATAATTAAAATAATGACATAAGGATGAGATTATAATGCCCAATACCTACCTAGCAAAACTTAACAATTTGATCAGTCGAGAAGTTACCAAAAACATGCCATAAACAAATTATAACTACACATTTTCTGCTCATCATCTTCATGATTTTATTTTAAAATTTATAAATCTAAAATTTTCAAACACAAAAACAATAGGTTACCGGTAATAGGGCACCATGTGTTAATAATATGACTTTGTATATAAATCGAACATTTAATACATTAAATTATAGTTTTTACACTATCTACCTATCAAATATAAAGATAATAATATGTATGTATATATTAGTAAAAACTGGAATGACCCTAATTTAAACATGACATATAGAAACAGTAATTCATACAGCGAATTAAAATACATACAAACCGTTTATATATATTTTTTCGTTTTAATTTTTTGGAGTGAAAACCTCTTTAGCCGCGTTACGTTACGTCACGAGCATATCTTGCCTGCGCCAGACTAACGACGCGTAGCATAGCGGCCTGTGTAATACACGCATATACACCATTGAGTTTTCACTTCTGTCGCCAGTCCTTATGCCTGCCTGTTTTTTTTTAAAATGTAAATTTAAAAAAAAAACTTTAATATTTATAATTTTATCCTAAATCAACACCTGTATATGCTCATTAATTTTTAATTAATAGTTAATATTGTTAAAATTATTGTAAGTAACATTAACCTATATATATGATGAAAGTCGGACGTTGTGAGGAATGCGGCTTCACAAATATTATATATGTTCATAACAATTTAACAATACGATTTTTAAATCATAAGGTCTCTTCACACGAGCGCATATAAGTGCAGCGCTGATGCATCGTAATTTTAGCGGTTTTATAGTTTTTGTTTGAGTGTATGCATACAAACACTTGTTGCGTATAGAACTGATTTCAATTGACATAACTATTAATCATATCATAAATCTATCTTATTGCTAGATTACATTTTATATTAAGACGGAACTGTAAGACGAAATTTTAGACGTGGTAGAGCCATGTTGCAGCTATATTAATAGTATAGTTTTCACGTATGGGTCGGCTCGACCGGGGAAGGACCACGCTCTCACAGAATACCAGCGTAAAATAGCAGCTTAATGCTGCTGTGTTTCGTATGGTGAATGTAGAGAACCGGAGACCTTTTTTACTGGAAAAGAGGCATGCTATCTTAGTCCTCACGGTTGACAATACATCTGCATTTTAATTCGCAAACAAAGATAGATGTAGATGTCTATGGGTGACAGCAACCACTTATTATCAGATGGACTGTGTGCTCGTTTGTCATCCTTATTCTATAAAAAAAATTATGTACTGTGTCCGACAAGCGCTTCGATATCTATTTGTCAGAAACCTTCATAATGCGCACACAAGTACTCACCATAGATTTATTGTAATCGGATGAATAGTATAGGAAAACATTGAAGACGAATAAACAAACAAATATTCATTTCAAACGGAACACGTCACCTACAATTAAGTTGAAATTATTGCCACATCCCACGTCAAAAGGAGTTGCCATTATAAGAGTTAGCGTGAGTGAATGCGCGTGTGGAGAGGGTTTTATTGTGAACCTCATTTTTTGTTTAAACTTTGTACAATTGCATTACCGTCAACATGTATGATGACGGTAATGCATATTTCTATATAACAATTATTGAATAAGAAAATAAAACAAAATGCCGCATTCCTAGCGAGTCCGCTTCCACTTTAAGTTATTTCATACATTGATGCTCAATGCTGTAAATATGAGTGGCCGGTGAAGTCATTACCTTGTAAACTTGATGTTGACATTAAAATAGTTTACAGTTATAATGAAGTTGTTTTATTTGTTATCTCGTTTACAACACTGCCCTAAATGAAAGAAACCCTTCCATCATTCTCTAAGAAGAGCAGTGAAATAATAATTCCATTTTGTATAAATTAGTGTAATTAAGTAAATACTGTAGCATATAATTTAAAATTAAACATTTTGTACGACCGACTTCAATATAAATTATTAAGAATGACTCAAAAACTATTGGTTAGACCTTGATCAAATTTATATGGGACCACACGAGAAGGACCAGTTTTCAAATAAAAAAAGAATCATCGAAATCGGTTTAACCAGAAACAATTTATGAGGTAACACACATAAACATTTTACCTGGCAGAGCCATGCTGCAGCTATATTCATAGTATAGTTGTAGCACGAATGGGTCGCCTCGACTGGGGAAGGACCACGCTCTCACAGAATATCAGCGTAAAATAGCAGCTTAATACTGCTGTGTTTCGTATGGTGAGTGTAGAGAACCGAAAACTATTTTTACTGGAAAAGAGGCAGAATGCCTCTAATACACGTAATGGTTTCGTATGGTGAGTGTAGAGAAATGGAGACACTTTTTACTGAAAACGAGGCATTCTATCTTAGTCCTCACGGCTGAAAACGCATCTGCATTTTAATTCGCAAACGAAGATAGACCCTTATTCTATAAAAAAAACATACAGTCGAATTGAGTAAAGTCTCCTTTTTGAAGTCACTAGAAAAGGCTAGCAACCTCCCCCGCTGTGGTGGTAAGTGCTAGGACTCCTTTTCTTCCTAAGAGCCTGGGTAGTTACCACATTCCTACCTAATTATGCTGCCTAATAGCGCTTGCAATGATGGGTTCCGGTCTGAATGGTATAAAGAGTCAGTATAATCTTAATCCTTAAAAGTAACAAGGCATCTGTAGCCTTTTTTGAGGACAGGATGACAAACGAGCACACAGTCCACCTGATTGTAAGTGATTGTTGTGACCCATAGACATCTATATCTATCCTCTATAAATACTCAAAATGCAGATGCGTTTTCACCCGTGCGCACTAAGATGGAGTGCCTCTATTCCAGTAAAAAGGGTCTCCGGTTCTCTACACTCACCATGCGATACATAGCAGTGTTAAGCTGCTATTTTACGCTGGTATTCTGTGAGAGCGCGGTCCTACCCCGGTCGAGCCGACCCATCCGTACTACCACTATACTACTAATATAGCTGCAGCATGGCTCTACCACATAAAAAGTCTTTGTTCGAAGTTGGTTGCAGGTGTCTATGGGTTACAGTAGCCACTTACCATCAAGTGTACTGAAAAACCGATACATAGAAACAGATAGAGACAAATAGAGTTTAGAAAGGCTTAGGGTTTTGAAATAAAACATGTAAAATTTATTTTGTACTTGTTTTATTTAGTCATGTTGTCGTAAGTTATTTAAAAATGCCAATTCAAAATGTTCTTTATTTAAACCCGCTCAAATCATTGTTCACATAGGCATACTTTTTCTTTATCATCATCAGCCCGTGAAAGTTCCAGCTTCAGCTGTGCGGAGAACTTTCCTTAACTCATCACATAATGGCAGGATTGCCGGTCGGTGTCTCGCACCTTTAACGCTGCTGCCGGTCTGGATATCACGATATGGTATACCGTTATCTTTAAGGAGCCGAAAGGATTTTTCAGCATTTCCTATCCTTTTACGAGACCCGTGGGAAGAAATGGGGTACTTTTGCGCCACCATTACGCATCAGTAGACAAATGTATTGTGTGAGTACGCTTACTAATTGAAATAAATTACCTAATAGTAAAAAAAAACAAAAAAATTTAAAAATATTGAACATACATATTTTCTTCTCTATAAAGAATTTCAATGAAAGCTTGTTTTCAAAATGTTTTTTACTGTTCATTTATTTTTTAGTTATAGCTGATCATGTTTTTACGTCTGTTAATATAATTGAATGCGTCATTGTTCGTTTT